GTTATTGCACGACATTTACTGAATGCCATATAATGTACTTCATGCACTTAATTTATGCCACTTCAGTTCATCGTGTTTTAGTCTTGATAACTTTAACTTTTACGTTTAATTAAATACATGCACTCCATTCGAAAGTTTTATTTTGACCGGAAAACACAACTGCTTATAGAAAAAAACATTCAAACATTCAGCCTTTCAACTACCCATACCTTCCCTCTAGACTCTTTATAGCCAATATGTCCCCTCACTCTCTGATCAGACATAGAACAGACTGCCCAACAATGAGCAAGACTAATCGCTGAACATGTGAGAGATTCAAAGCTATTATCGGCCAAAATAGCTTGATTACTTCCTCCCAATCTAAAAACTAAAATCACAAAACGGAAATCAAACTGGAAGTGCTAAATGAAAAAGATGCATAGACCCACTGGTTCCTTCCCTGGCGGCGGTTCGGGAGGGGGATGAAGAAATAACACTTCTCCATGAACCTTCACGTCCAACCGATCATAGACCCACTGGTTGTCCGTGTCTTCATATTGTTCCTCCATCTCCACCTTTTCATAAGCTTGAGCCAAAACCTCTATCTTCTCCTGGTTGTTGCCTTCCATTGCTACTCCCTTGCGTGTTGTTGATGTCGGCGGAGAAGACTAAGCGGTCGAACCCAAGTGCGTTGTTGCTTTGCTTGAAGGAAAAAGGCGCACCAAGCCTGCGGACGAAAAGCCGCCTCTAAACCCTAGGCTTAGAGCCTACCCGTCCGCTCTTCACTCTTTGGGGGTATGAATCAATTGTTAAAAGATACTTAATCATGAAAATTGACAGCAGAGGAATAATCAGAGAATCAAATTATTTAGCACTGAGGCATTCATCACTCCATGCGATAGTTATGGCTCGACATTACAAATATGTTAAAATTTTATAATTTTTTCTTTTCAGATTTAATAATTGCACTTTATGTCAATGTTAATGCTCTACATTATTGCACATTTTGTCATAACCACATTATTTATGGTAATATCATTGCACTTCTTATAATAATTAGTGCACTTCTTGTAATATTCACAGCATTAAATACAAATTATTCACAGCACACGGTCTTCAGTCGTCTTCAACCTAGGGTTCATCTTCAACCTTGGGTTTGCCTTCAACCTCGGCCGCGTTGGTTGAAGACTATGAGTGGTTGGAGTGGCGGTCCAACACCATTCTTTGGTAACATTAATTACCAACCCTAATTTCAAGAAATACAAAAAGAAAAAGGGAGAAGGAGAAGGAGGCGAATGTACGGCGGGACGGCGGGACGGCGGCGGCGAGTGCGGGCTGGATGAAGGTGACGGCGAGTGCAGGTGGGACGGCTGCGACAGGCGGTTGTGCGGCGGGCAGTGGGAGGCTAGACGCTAGGGTTGGAAAAAAGGAGTAGGAGATTAGAGTTTTATAGGCATAACCTAAAAGATATATTAGTCCATAAAAATTAATTATTTAACTATTTAATTATTAATTAAAAAATTAATAAAAAAAATTACATACTCGTATTTAAATATTATTTTGAAAAAAAACTAGTTAAATCGGAGTGGTGGAGTTTTAGATACATCTAGGATAATTATCTCTATAATAGTCAAAAAAAAAGAAAAAGATAGATGAAAAATATTAATAAATACTTCGCAATAAATACAAATATAACCTCTTATTTTCCCTGCTACACACAAATATTAAAAATGACATACAACTGTACAAGCTACAAAATTATTTGAGCTCGGATTCATTCGCATTGAAAATGAAGTGTGTTTTCTGTACATATGGCCAGTAATCGGGACACGAATACTTCGCTAATTGGTCTCCATATGTGCAAGGAAGCACCAATATTTAATTTTCATATTAGGATCCAACTTGAACTTGAAGGCTCCATTTCGAATAAAATACTTCATCCATCCCATAATTTTACTGTTTTGACATTGTTTCAAGACTGTGTGGTATTGTTTGTCTCTGTTTGCACTAATTTGCAAATAAGGAAGTTGGAAGAAGTGTGAAATTAATTTCGAGTTTGCTCGAAAAGGAAAGTGGGAAGTTATTTTCATGACAGAGAGAGTATATGCTTATTCGAATTATGTTTTGCTTATTAATTCACATTTTTAACAGAGCTATAATAATATTGCTTTGCATTTATCTCATTTTATTGGTTCAAAATTCACATTTTTGCCTTCCCCGAGTATGGGTGGACTCGGGCCGGGCCGGGCCTCGAGCCACTTCCTAGTTTTTTTTTTAATTTTCTAATTAATACCCCCCTCACCCCCATCCCCCCAAACCACCACAAATGGCCCAAAACACCCAGCCCAATCCAGAAAAATAAAAAAAATTGAAAAAACAAAAAAAAAAAGAAAAAGTCCCGGAACCGGGCCCGGCCGACCCGAGCCGGTTCATCATTTGGGGGACCCGAGTCCGCACCGTAAAACCACCGGGCCGAGACAACTCGGATTGGTCCCTGGCCGGGCCATCGATTCGGGCCGGGCCGGTTCCGGATCAGGCCACCCGGCCCGAGTCCACCTCTATCCCCGAGTGATCAAATATATGCCATGGCCGTCAGTTTGTAAGAGTACCACCATCAACTACCAATTCCCTGGGCGGATGTGGGGCCAGATCTGCAGATCGCACCCCGACCCACTTCAAATTTGAAAAACGCTAGTATTTTTAACGTACAATTTATGTGTTAAAGTTTATGTGAATTTTTTATATTGGTTCTTCACAATTTCTGCTTATGCTATTATGCTAACACTCCCTGCCAGCACCACTAAGAAAATTAGAGATGTCGAATCATGCAAACCTCTTAGGCCCTGTTTGGTTGGAGGGTTTAGGAGGGGAGAGGAGGAAAGTGGAGGATTTGTTTGTGTTTTGTTGAAGGAAATAGGGGGGAGGAGGAGGAAAGTGGAAGACTTTCAAAATCCTCCACTCCCTCCAATTCTAAACTCCTCAAATCGGGGTATTTCGGAGGAAACGTGTTGATAACCATAAACTATCCATCTCCTACGTGAATGAACAAAACGTTATAATATAAAAAGGTAAAAAACAAAAAGTTTTGAAAAATTAAAAAATTAAAAAATTTAAAAATTTAAAGATAAAAAAATTAAAAATTAAAAAATTTAAAAATTTTAAAAATTAAAAAATTATAAATTATAAATTTTAAAAATTAAAAATAAAAATATTTAAAAAATAAAAATAAAAAATAAAAAATTCCAAACTGAAAAATGAAAAATTATAAAATTAAAAAAAAAGTAAAAAATCAAATAAAATAAAATTATGAGTCATGACCATAGGAGTAATATTCACAATAGTTAGACATGTATCTATTTTTTAAGTATGCTATCAAATAAAAGTAAATTGCGAAAATATTTTCATTAAACATTTCCTCCTATTTCCTCCAACCAAACACAAATTTTTATCAAAATCTTTTCTTCCCCTTTCCTTCCCTTCCCTCCTTGACTCTCCCCTTCCCTCCCCTCCCCTCCCCTCCTTTGAACCAAATAGAATGAACAACGGAGGATGTTATAATTTAGTTTGATTTTTAAACACACTAAACCAAGCGTATATATAATGAGAATTGAGAGCCCAACAAAAAATTCAAATTAATATCGAATACGTGTGTGATACTAAGCTATCGGTCCTTGAAGTTATGTAACCATATACAAATAACCTAAAATCTAATACATTGATTTGATATCTTATCTCATTATTTTAATATTCTTGAATGTTAAATAGATATGAAATAGTAGAGCAAACAATAAAAAGATGCATCAAATCATATACTTGGATAATTATCAATCGATAACCCGTACGAAATATACCAATTCTAACCCAAAATCGGGATAACAGAGAATCAAATGATGCCATTTGGCCTTTACATGTGTCAACAAGAAGGATGAGCTTTTTGCTTCGAAAAGCAAATGATTATTGGAATTGATTTGATTATTAAATTATATTTTCTCCGTCCCAAATAGATTGGCAAATTTGATTTTTTTGGGTCAAACAGTTTCATTTTAATTACTTAATTAAGATATCAAATCATAATTAAATTTACTTTGAATTTTGCAACTTTATAGAGATTTTAATGTAGTATCGGAATATGTAAATTTTAATTATTAAAATTGAATTATTTATCAATAGGGAGGATTTAACTTTAACATTAGTTGACTAAAAATGTTGACTTTGCAAAACAAATTAGTACTGAGGTAGTATTTTGTAATGAAAATAATTAAGAACTATTTTGAGCTTACAACTTTATATAATTATTATTTTACAAAGCAATAACAAATCTACAAACTTTAGTTATAGTTTAATCGAAATTCAAAGTTAGCACAATTGTGTTCTTCTTGCTAAAAACAAATTTCTAATTTAACCAATACTATTTGTTACTAACTTCCAGAGGCAGACCCAATAAGGGTCCCACGGGGTCCCGGGACCCCGTGCACCTCGAAAAAATAGCTATATATTATATATATATATATTATATAAAATTAATTATTCAATGTATATTTACAAAAAAACGACCATAAAATCAAAAGAACGGAGTAGGGGAACGGGAGCACGCATGAGATTGAAAGTTTCTATGTTGCAAGAGGTGTTCGAATCCCCCTGGGTTATTTTTAAAAGTTCGAAACCCTTTCAACAAGATGTTTGAAAGTTTCAATGTTGCAGGAGGTACAACTTTCGAAAAAGTAGCAAATGAAACAAGAAAAAAAAACATAACATCTTTTTTGAGAATTTACACGGGAAATCAATTAGGAAAACAAAATACCATGTCATTTTTTTGTCAAACAGCTACACATTTTTCCTTTAAACTCTTTTTAGTCACTAAAGACTAACATTAACTAAAAACCTAATTGATTTTTAATATAATAGTGTCAACCACTCAAACATACTCATAGATTAAAATACTTAATAAAGTACTACGAGTGATTATTAAAGTACAAGAAAACAAACAATCTACAATAATTATCACTTAATCAATGAACTTAGTAGAATTAGGTACATTGTCAAGCTCCAATAAACAAATACAATGAGGGCCCCTCACACGTGAAGTGCTGGTATCGTTTAGTTGGCACTTTGATGACCCCCCTTTATTTGCAGCTCCCTTCTCTCCCAGTTTTCCCCATCCACCGCTTCATCGTCTCTCTTCCGTATAGAACACAAATCGTACATATTTTTTCATTTTGATTCCACTGTATATTGCCGCTGAATAGATTGACTTCCCTTAATCATGTAAGATTGGCGTTGTTCCGGTGATGGGTTAAGGTTTCCAGATGGTTTCTACAGACTGGTTCGATCTAATCATGGATAGAAGGATTCCGAAAAAGGTATGGCTTTGCTCCCAAATGTCAATGGTATTACTCGTGGGTGGTAATCACACTTCCTCCAGGTTTTGTACTCGCTAAATCTTACCTTCCCTCACCATTTGGCTTGAATTCCCTTGATTCTTAACAAATCTGAGTTTGAACTCTAGACTTTAGTCTTAGAACGAGCTATCGCTTTCTAGATCTGAAAAAACTAACCGGGTTTTGAAGAGGTGTTTAATATTGAGAGAAGGATGGACTTGAAGGCCTTGAAATGGCAAGCTGTCCGCAGTTCACTGATGAAGCGTTTGGTTCTCAAACTGTTGATGTTTGGGGCTGGAACTATGATCATACTGTTCGTTCAAATGGGACATGATGTCCAATTCTCTGATCCGTGGATGCTGAGTGACAGTGAATGCAGTCATTTGAACTTTAGCATGAACCCTAGCGCTTTCAATTTCACACGTCTATTTGGGGTTATGCCATTTCCGTGCAGAGCTGATGAGATTTTAGCTAAGAACGTCTTCGAGGAACTGATGGTTAACAGTTTCTTAGATTCCGATGTGAAGTCTCTGTGTGTTGGTGAGGGTGCGGACGCAGCTGTTTTGGCATTGAGAGATTTGGGTTTCTCTGATGTTTCTGGCGTTAGTAGCCACCCGTTTTTCTCCCTTATGAAGAGGAGGTTCATGTATGAGCTCGATTTCGATGACGATGCTTTCGATTTCGTGTTCTCCCGATCTCTCGATCGGGTATCTGTACCTGCCCTCCTCGTGCTCGAGATCGAGAGGGTCCTACGCCCAGGCGGTTCAGGCGCCATGCTTCTTGGCGACCACAGTTTCTACTCGGGCAACCTCGTCAAGCACGCCACCCCTGTCTCTTCCTTCTTGAAGAGCTCTGATGTCGTGCACGTATCTGCAGTGGGCCCCTTCACCTTAGTTCTCTTCAAGAAGCGTTTTGAAGGAGGTGACATGGCATTGGATCTCTTTGAGCGGTTCGAACTACCCGATCATTGCCCGTCAGTCGCGAACAGCATATCCCTTATGCCGTATATTGAGCCCCTAGTCAACGATGAGACAAACATCTCTTATTTGCCACAATTGACGGATATATCCTCAAGAAAAAAGCTCATTTATATTAACCTAGGGGCCGGGGAACTTGTGGACACAACCATTACAAAAATGTTGAATTCCAATTACCCGTTTCCCCGGCAAGCCATGGACGCCTATGTCATTGATCACAATGCCTATGCTCTTTCGTTGTACGTGAAGACTCCGGGGATCACATTTGTGTACCACCCAGGACTTGCAGGAGAAGAGGAGATGGAACAGGATATTAACTATGCAGATGATGAGGATCTAGAGGATGAAAAAGACTTTGACTTTATTCGTTGGTTCAATGAGACGGTGAGCGGTGGAGAGGAGGTCTTCGTGGTGCTTATGATGAACGCTCGCCCGGTGGAGTTGGGGATACTTGATGAGCTTTTCAGGACTGGTTTGATATGTCGTGTTGATGAACTTTTCCTTCGTTGCTCGGACACTACAGTGTGGAAACCTGCTAGGTGTGGGGATTGTATGAGCTTGTTGAAAAGTCTCAGGAACAGTGGCGTATTTGCTCACTGGTTTTAAGGATTCCATATTGTTGTTGTGTTATTGTTGCAATGTGTTGTTGTTTCAGTTTCTAAAGGATTGAGAATAAATGCAAGGGGACAATCAGCATTTTCTAAATGCGATCCTTCAAACCCTTGCTGAGTCAAATGTGTGTGATGTTTGTTTTAGTAGCAAGTACTCTGGACCTATGTTTTTCTTGCGTTGTTCTTTTGCGGAGGAAACATTTGCTGTGGTTTAATTACTCCTATAGTCCTATGTTTGTTTTTCTATAAATTGTTATCATATTCCCTTATACCACGTAGTATTTTATTTATGCAATGAAGCTGGTAAATGGAGAATTTAGCAGACCTGATTGAATTTACAATCCAATTACTTGCACAAGTTAATTGTAGGTTAGATTTGAAGGCTATGTTTGGAACTTGGAAAAGGGTGCTAACTGCTAAGAGGAAAAATACCAAGGAAATGGTTTTTAAATACTCTCTCCAGCACCGAACATCCTGTGTTCTTTTGGACTTCCCCAAGTACTTGTCGGTTTAGACCACTCGCCAATCAGTTTATATTGATGAATTGATTGAGGTTGATCCAATTGGAAAATCTCCCACAGCTAGGGATGGACTCGGTTCGGGCCAGGCCCGGTTCGGGCCTTGAACCGGCCGGGCCTCGGTTCAAGGTATGGGAGGCCCGGAACCGGCCCGGGTAACCCCTAGGAGGTTTTATTTCCTTCCAAATTTCATCTCAGTTTTCCTCCTTATTCCCCTTGATATTATTCTACTTTCAACTTTTCAAGCGATGAAAACCATGATAGAATCCAATTTGATAAAAAACCGAGCTATTAAATATGTTTAAGGATGTTTTCTTTTAGATTGTAATTTGTTGGCCTGCTCTGTTTTAATCAGGTTTGGTCTGAACTAATCTGATGTGATAAATGTTTGTTCTATGTGTATTTTATAATTGTCTGGTCTGAACTGGTCTGGTCTGATCAGGTAAATGTTTGGTCTCTGTGTATTTTATAACTGTCCAAGTCTGGTATGGTTTGGTCTGAGATTGAAAATAATCAAAGTAAAAACATCCTAAATTCATTCTTTATGGAATAGACAAATTTAGGTAAAATTAACGTATTTAGCTTGAATTTTAAAGTTTATATTAAACATATTTTTACTAACAATTTCACTCATCGGTGAAATCGAAAATCGAATCGACAAAATCTGAACCACAAGCAAAACAAATTGAACCGCTAGAAAACTGAAACCAAACTAGAAAAACTAAATTGAACTATAAATGTTTTGTTTTGGTTTTAGTTTTCACCTCTAAAAATTGGACGGAACCGTAGCAATTTGGTTTCGCTTTTGATTTTCAACTCTAAAAATCGAAGCGAACCGAACAAATCAAACTTTTAAAAATATACTACACCCCAAAGGTAGCTAGTACTCAGTGTGTAAAAAGGGGCAAGTGTAATAAAAGTAGGAGTATAAATGCATTTTAATTGAAAAAGTTTTCTAAAAAGGGAAAGAAGCGACAAATAATTAACAACACCCCAAAAAGGAATAAGAGATAGTTAATAGAGAACAAACAGCGTACTATTTTATTTATTAATTATTAAGTATAATATTTTTGTTTAGTTCTATATTCTTAATTCTTGAAAATTTATGTTTGATTCTAGATATATTATGATTTTGAGGATATTAACATTTGATATTTATAATTTAATAAAGCGAAAAACTTGTATATGTACTTCAACTCTTGCTATAATACTACTATATGGATATTTATAACTTTTATTTACATTTTTGCTTGTTATTATTAGTTACTTTTGTTTATTATCACACGACTCTTTATTGCAGAAGGAATATTTAGTCATTTAAATTATACCTTAGACAACATATAAATTATTCAACTGTTTTCAAACAACTAAGCACAAGACGTGAAACTTTTGAGTAGATATACCATTGTCTAAAAACAAACTAAAGAATAATAAGTTATTTCAACTTATTTACCATTTATAAAAATCTTTTAGTAAAAAAAATGAATAATTGCACACAACCTTTATAAATAAAAGTATAACTTCAAGCTACACTATTTATATTTTGTATATAAGCTTATGCGTTTAATTATTTTAAAAAAATATTTAAAGAGATAAACACTCTAATTCATTGATTGGAAGTGCATTTGTTTCTTATCTCTTTTTTTTGCCTTGAGGGTCGGGGGGAGGGGGGGGGGGGGGGGGGGGGGTCTGGGGTTTTGGGGTTAAGATGAATCAAACTCACTTTATTGATTATTCAACCCGGGACCTCCCATAAGAGAGAGTGAACCGGCGACCAGCTGAGTTGGACCGCTTCCTCTCTTCTCTCTTTTTAGTTATGTGTTCGTATCATATTTCTATTAATTATTGATTATATTGATGTAGTTTTTTTTTCTTTCAATTATTATATGTTTTAATCAATAAAAATATTTGAAAAAAACCAGAATCGAAACATATCGAACCAAACAAATTGTGGTTTCAAATTTGAAAGGTAAAAATCGAATAAAAACAAAATTTATACTTTGATTCGGCACATTGTTCTAAAAATCGTTATAGGTGGCCGACTAGTCCCCGCATAGACGCTATGTGGTGGTCGAGCGACACAATTTTAGTCTAGGTCTTCCGATTAATTGATTTAGCGCGTATGTGTATAATTCAGTCGTCTAGGGCACTGAATTGCCCACCCAGAGCGCCTAATCGCCTAGGGCGTCTAGGTTTGTCGAATATTTTATTTACTTTTTATTTTGTTTTTATAAGCGATATATTTACCTTTATCTATGGACATGAAGATAGTTATTTGTAAATTAAGATAAAAACTATGAGCCCGTTTGGTAACATTGAAATTAGATTATTCGGCTCATTCTGCTGAAATTTATGAAGTTTTGGTTGAAGTGGTTGTATTGGCTGATTCTGCTGATTTATGAAAACCTTACATTCAAAATATATTTTATGAATAAAATAAGGAAAAACTTATATGAAAAACAGTTAAAATGGTCATCTACAGTAAATTCAGCCAATAGAGCCAGAAAAGTAACTTCAACCTTACTTTTTCTTATTATTTCACAATTCAGCGCGCAAAATCAAAAATTACGTAGTTGGTTAATAAGCCTGATAAGCTGGAAAAATAGAGTTGCCAAACAAACGGACTCTATATTTGCTTGCATATATTTTTAAAATTTAATACTTACTACCTCCGCCCCTTTAAACTTTGCCAAAATTGACTGGCACGGAGAATAATAAAGTAAAAACTCCGTGGTTGAGATTTATGCAGAGGAGAGAGAAATAACAGAAACCACAAAATAATTGATTAAAAGGGAAAGTGACAAAGTTTTTTGGGACGACCCAAAAGGGAAAGACAAAGTTTTAAGGAACGGAGGGAGTATTACATAATGAAGTTAGATGATTAGTTATATTATGTTATTAAATGTGATGATCCTATCATTCTTGCATATATTAGGCACACACAAACACAATACGGAGCATTATTTATCATATTTATGCAAGAACATATAATAAATTGATCTTTGTGTCTTCAACTAGTTCCCGCTAGACGCCCACCTAGGTGTTGGGTTAAGTATCGATCCTCCTCCCCAATCTAAACCTGACACTTTTAACACCCCCAAATTGGGGTGATTTGAGGTACTGGACAACTCATGTCTAGGGGTGGACTCGGGCCGGGTCAACCAGCTCGGAACCAGACCGGCCCGCTACTGTGCGGGCCCGGACCGGCCCGCTACTGTGCGGGCCCGGACCGGCCCGCTACTGTGCGGGCCCGGACCGGCCCGCTACTGTGTGGGTCCGGACCGGCCCGCTGAACCGGATGGTTGACCGGTTCGGGCCACCCGGCCCGGTGGGATGGCGGTTCGGGCTCGGGTCCTTCAAAAGGTGAACCGGCCCGACCGGTTCGGGCCCGGGCTGGGCCAATTTATTTAATTTTTTTTTTTGATTTTTTTTAAGTTTTTGGGTTGGGCTGGGTATTTTAGGCCATTTGAGGTGGTTAGGGTTGGTTTGGGGATGAGGGGGGAGGGTTGGGGTTAACTAGGAAAAGTCAAAATAAAAAAATAAAAAAAAGAACCGAGGCCCGGCCCTGACCCGGGGTTACCCGGGCCGGTTCCGGGCCTCCCCTTCATGAACCGAGGCCCGAACCGGGCCTGAACCGGAATCGGTCCACCCCTAGGCCATGTCCTCTTTAATTGAATGAAAAATACGGAGTATAAAACTTTCAATCCTTCGGTCTCAGACTATTGTCATGCATATCCTAATACTCAATTACGCTCAACTAGTGAAGTAATGGATGATACTCCATCCCTCCATTCCTATATAAAGACTTCGATCCCTTTTGAATTGTATGGATATTAAGTGAATAATTTTTTTCCTTCAAGTTCTTGAAATGCCACTTTTATTGAGAGGTAAAATTTTAATGTAGAATATATTGTTTTGACACTTTTGACACTGTTCATCACTTGTTTGCACTGTATTGTCATTACTATTTAAGTGTAGTGGAATAAATTGATATACTTTTGTTTATCGAATCATGAAAGAGGACTTTATTTAACGACACGATATGAAAAAACAGATGGAGTATTTTTCTTCCCGTATTCCAGAACAAATAGTTAAGAAAAAACATCAAAAAGTTTATTTGTCGGAAAAATGGTTTTACAAATTAATATTACTAATATTATTTGTGAAAAATCATTTCGAAATGAATGAGAAATTGTTCCCTAGGCCTAGGCCCTGTGAGACCCGAGCCCGGACCTGCACTACTCACTAGGCCTAGGCCCGACCCGGACCCGAGAACCGGGCCGGTCCCGGTCCCGCACAGTAGCGGGTCGGGCCGGTCCACGGGCCGGGTTGCCCGACCCGAGTCCAACCCTACCCATGACTGCCAGCATTTTCAATAAATCCGAAAATCATCACACAATCCTCCATATTCTCTCTTCCTTTGTTGCATCTTTGAGTTCGTCGGAATCCCGTTGGGAGCGAAGAACCGTTCTATCCTGGGAGACCATTTTTTCGCATTACAAAATGGGAGACGAATCAAACATTACATTTCCAAAATTATCCCCGCTCACTACTATTCTGGTCAGTTCTTCTCATGGAGAAAAACCTAGCAAATTCAACGGCCATGATTTCAAACGTTGGCAACAAAAAATGTTGTTTTATTTAACGACATTGAATTTGGCTAAGTATCTCTCCGAAAGCCAACCTCTTCTAGAGGAAGGCGAGACTGATATGGAAAAAGTAGGCCGCGGTGGATGCGCGGAAATATTCGGATTTCTT